GGGATCCTGAAAAATGGGGAGGGGTCTCTGACGGAGCCCCCACGCCCCCCCAGACGTACGAGCAGCGCAAGGTGGTGGAGTTCACGTGCCACACGGCGTTCTTCGTCAGCATCGTGGTGGTGCAGTGGGCCGACCTCATCATCTGCAAGACGCGCCGCAACTCCGTCTTCCAGCAGGGCATGAAGTGAGGGGGGGCCCAAAATCCCCGGGGGGTCCCCGAGTTCCTGGGGGGGGTCCCAAAAATCCCGAGGGGGTCCCCGAAATCCTGGGGGCGTCCCTGAATTTCTGGGAGAATCCCCGAATTTTTGGGAGCGTCCCCAAAAAAACCAGCATCCATTATCACTGGAGATGGAGAGGGCTGGATTTGGGGAGGGGTCCTCAAAATTCTGGGGGGTTCCCAAATTCCTGGGGGGGTCCCCGAATTCCCAAGGGGGTCCCCGAAATCCTGGGGGCGTCCCTGAATTTCTGGGAGAATCCCCAAAAAAATGGGAGAGGTCAAAACTTGGGAGGGGACTGGATTTGGGGCGGGGTCCCAAAATTCCTGGGAGGGGGTCCCAAAATTCCTGGGAGGGTCCCAAAATTCTGGGGGGGGTCCCCAAAATCCTGAGAGGGACCCCAGGAAACAACGGAGTCCCCTGGAATTTTGGGGGATTTTGGTGAATTTCTGGGAGAATCCCCAAAAAAATGGGAGAGGTCAAAACTTGGGAGGGGACTGGATTTGGGGCGGGGTCCCAAAATTCCTGGGAGGGGGTCCCAAAATTCCTGGGAGGGTCCCAAAATTCTGGGGGGGGGGTCCCAAAATTCCAGAGGGGGTCCCCAAAATCCTGAGAGGGACCCCAGGAAACAACGGAGTCCCCTGGAATTTTGGGGGATTTTGGGGGGAATTTTGGGGAAAATTTCTGGGAATTTTGTGAGAATTTTTTGGGGAATTGAGGGGGGATTTTGGGGGGAATTTTCGAAGAGAATTTAGAGGGATTTTGGGGAATTTTGGGGGATTTTGGGGGATCCAACACGCCTGTGGTTTTTTAGGAATAAATTCCTAATTTTTGGGCTTTTCAGGGGCCAGATTTTGGGGTGAATTCTCTCAGATTTGGGGGTTCCTGTGCGGGTTTTTTGGGGGGTTTCTGTTGATGATTTAAAATCTCTGGGAATTTTGTGAGAATTTTTTGGGGGATTGAGGGGGGATTTTGGGGGGAATTTTTGAAGAGAATTTAGAGGGATTTTGGGGAATTTTGGGGGATTTTGGGGGATCCAACACGCCTGTGGTTTTTTAGGAATAAATTCCTAATTTTTGGGCTTTTCAGGGGCCAGATTTTGGGGTGAATTCTCTCAGATTTGGGGCGTTTTTTGTGGGGTTTTTTAGGAACAAAATCCTGATTTTGGGGCTTTTCAGGGGCCAGATTTTGGGGTGAATTCTCTCAGATTTGGGGGTTCCTGTGCGGGTTTTTTGGGGGGTTTCTGTTGATGATTTTTGTAGTGTTTTCTGTAATTTTTTTAGGAACAAAATCCTGATTTTCAGACTTTTCAGGGGCTGGATTTTGGGGTGGATTTGCTCAGATTTGGGGGTTCCTGTGCGGGTTTTTGGGGTGCTTTTTTTAGGAACAAATTCCTGATTTTGGGGCTTTTAAGGGCCCAGATTTTGGGGTGGATTCTCTGACTTTGGGGCGTTTTTTGTGGGTTTTTTTAGGAACAAATTCCTGATTTTGGGGCTTTTTGGGGCCCAGATTTTGGGGTGGATTTGGGGGTCCGCACTGATGCATTTTTGGGGTGTTTTCTGTGTTTTTTTTAGGAACAAAATCCCGATTTTCAGACTTTTCAGGGGCTGGATTTTGGGGTGGATTTGCTCAGATTTGGGGGTTCCTGTGCGGGTTTTTGGGGTGCTTTTTTTAGGAACAAATTCCTGATTTTGGGGCTTTTTGGGGCCCAGATTTTGGGGTGGATTTGGGGGTCCGCACTGATGCATTTTTGGGGCGCTTTCTGTGTTTTTTAGGAACAAAATCCTGATTTTCGGGCTCTTCGAGGAGACGGCGCTGGCCGCGTTGTGTTTTTTTAGGAACAAAATCCTGATTTTGGGGCTTTTAAGGGCCCGGATTTCGGGGTGGATTTGGGGGTCCGCACTGATGCATTTTTGGGGCGTTTTCTGTGTTTTTTAGGAACAAAATCCTGATTTTCGGGCTCTTCGAGGAGACGGCGCTGGCCGCGTTCCTCTCCTACTGCCCGGGCATGGACGTGGCGCTGCGCATGTACCCCCTCAAGTGAGCCCCAAAACCGGGGGGACCCCAAAATTGGGGGGGGGTCCCCAAAATCCGGACACCGGGAGGGGGCGGGACCCATTTAAAGGGGTGGGGTGGGGGATTTTGGGGCGTTTTTTAACATTTTCCGCATTTTTGAGGGGTTGTTTTGAGCAATTTTTGGGGGTTTTGAGAGATTTTTTGGTGGGGTTTTGGTAATTTTTGGGGGTTTTGCACATTTTTGGTATTTTGAGAGATTTTTGGGGGGATTTTGACCATTTTTGGGGCTTTTTGAGCATTTTGTGGGGTTTTGACCATTTTTTGGGGGGTTTGAGCATTTTCTTGGGGGTTTTCAGCATTTTGTGGGGATTTGAAGCGTTTTTGAGGGGGTTTTGGACCTTTTTTGGGTTTTTGATAATTTCGGGGCGGGTTTTAACCATTCTTTTGGGTTATGAGTGATTTTTGTGGTTTTTGACCATTTCTTCAGGGTTTTGGACCGATTTTTTTGGTGTCTTTGACCATACTTTGTGTGCTTTAGACCATTTTGAGGCCTTTTTGACCATTTTTTGGATTTTGACCATGTTTCAGGTGTTTTTTACAATTTTTTTGGCTTTGACCACTTTTTGGCCGTTTTCGACCATTTATTTTGGCTTTTGACCATTTCTGGCCAGTTTTAACTATTTCTTTTGAGTTTTGACCATGTTTTGGGTGGTTTTGACCATTTCTTTTGGCTTTTGACCATTTTTGGCCAGTTTTAACTATTTCTTTTGGCTTTTGACCATTTTTGACCCATTTTGACCATTTCTTTTGAGTTTTGACCATTTTTGGCCGGTTTTGACCATTTCTTTTGTCTTTTGACCATTTTTTGACCCATTTTGACCATTTCTTTTGAGTTTTGACCATTTTGCGGGTGTTTTTCACAATTTTTGGGGGTTTTGTGCTTTTTTGACATTTTCCCCCCACATTTTCACCATTTTTGGGGTTGTTTAATGATTTTTTTTAAGTTTTGAGCGATTCTCATGGTGTTTTTTACCTTTTATTTCATTTTTTGACCGTTTTTTCGCCGTTTTCGACCGTTTTTTTTTTATTTTTACCCATTTTCGGGGCCGGCGCC